GAGGATGAGGATGAGGATGAGGATGAGGATGAGGATGAGGATGAGGATGAGGATGAGGATGAGGATGAGGATGAGGATGTCTGCAGCTCCTGGAGAGCTCCAGAACTCCCAGCCTGGGGTTCTGGAAATCCTTGTCAAACGCAGGAAAAAACCCCAATTTTGGGGATTTGGGTGGAGCAGGCTGGAAATTTGGCCACGGGGGAACTCTCAGGGGAACTCAGCCACATCCCAGCAGGAGGATGAGGATGAGGATGAGGATGGATGAGGATGAGGATGAGGATGGCTGCAGCTCCTGCAGAGCTCCAGAACTGCCAGCCTCGGGTGCAGCAAGTGTCACAGCATCCGTGTCACCACCATGGTGAGGAAATCCTCATCAAACCTGGGAGAAACCCCAATTTTGGAGATTTGGGTGGAGCAGGATGGAAATTTGGCCACAGGGGGAATTTTCGGGGGTGCTTAGCCACATCCCAGCAGGAGGATAAGGATGAAGATGGGGATGGAGGATGAGGATGGGGATGAGGATGAGGATGAGGATGAGGATGGAGGATGAGGATGAGGATGCCTGCAGCTCCTGGAGAGCTCCAGAACTCCCAGCCTGGGGTTCTGGAAATTCTCATCAAACCCAGGAGAAACCCCAATTTTGGGGATTTGGGTGGATCAGGATGGAAATTTGGCCACGGGGGGAACTTTTGGGGGGCTCAAGCACATCCCAGTAGGAAGATGAGGATGAAGATGGGGATGGAGGATGAGGATGGGGATGAAAGTGAGGATGAGGATGAGGATGAGGATGAGGGTGAGGATGAGGATGCCTGCAGCTCCTGGAGAGCTCCAGAACTTCCAGCTTGGGGTTCTGGAAATCCTTGTCAAACCCAGGAGAAACCCCAGTTTTGGGGATTTGGGTGGATCAGGATGGAAATTTGGCCACGGGAGAAACTCTCAGGGGAACTCAGCCACATCCCAGTGGGAGGATGAGGATGAGGATGAGGATGAGGATGAGGATGAGGATGCCTGCAGCTCCTGGAGGCCTGGGGTTCTGGAAATTCTTGTCAAACCCAGGAGAAACCCCAATTTTGGGGATTTGGGTGGATCAGAATGGAAATTTGGCCACGGGGGAACTCTCGGGGGGGCTCAGCCACATCCCAGCGGGAGAATGAGGATGA